AGGACGGGGACCAGGACAGGGCCCTGGACCCAGGGACTGAGCCCAAGGACTCGGGACCTGGAGCCCAGGACAGGCCCCCCAGACCAGGATGGGGACCAGGACAGGGCCCTGGACCCAGGGACTGAGCCCAAGGACTCGGGACCTGGAGCCCAGGACAGGCCCCCCAGACCAGGATGGGGACCAGGACAGGGCCCTGGACCCAGGGACTGAGCCCAAGGACTCGGGACCTGGAGCCCCAGCACAGGCCCCCAGACCAGGATGGGGACCAGGACAGGGCCCTGGACCCAGGGACTGAGCCCAAGGACTCGGGACCTGGAGCCCAGGACAGGCCCCCCAGACCAGGATGGGGACCAGGACCTGGGAGTCAGACCCAGCCCTTCGGCCCAGGACGGGGACACCACTGGGAGACAGGGTCCCTGCCCCAGGACTGGGACGAGGACCTGGTCCCACTGGAGTACAGCGCCCAGCTCCAGGATGGGCATCCCAGGACTCTGCATTGTGGAGACAGACACCCCAGGATAAGGACCCAGACACTGGGACAGAAACTGGGACCCCAGACCCAGGGACTGGCACTGTGGGGTGGGACCCCAGACCAGGCTGGGGAACTGGGCCATTGGGCTCCAGGACCTGCCGGCACCGCTGCGGGATTCAGCATGGACCCCACAGCCCAGGAGCCCGTACGTGGTGGCGGAGGTTCACCACCCGTCCCTGCAGACGGGGGGAGCCAGCACAGCTCACAGTGAGCCTGCGTGGCCAGAAACGCACCGCTGCTGCCCCGTTCCCGTCTCCATATGGTCATAAACGTGGCACAGGCAGGCACCAGCTATCCCCATGCTGCAAAATACGGCTGGGACCTACCAACCCAACACCCCCTGTCCCAGAGCTGGGCCTGCGATAGGGGCTAGCACGCTGGCTGCAGCTCCCTGTCGCTGAAGCCCCAGCCCTGCCTCTTTTTGCCCGCAGCCAGAGGGGAAGCACAGCGTGAGGAGCAACCCTCCAGCCCTGGTTTTGCCTGGCCTTGATGCATGCACTGCAGCAGGCACACCGCTTCCAAGGGAAGAGAAAGCACGCTCAACTCTCTGGTTTTTCCCACCTTGCTAATTAAACCTACTAGAAATAGGTCGATCTATTTCCGTCCTGAGGCTATAATGACTGCTAGACAGAGTGAAGACAGTAGTTGTACCGGATGATTTCTTTTTTCTTTGTCTGCACCCTCAGTCTGCGTTTCATCCAGAGTGCTTCAGCTTCAAATACTGCAGCCCCAAGCCCTTCACACTGTAAAGAAATAAAACAGTCCTAACACCGCAGAAGAAACATATCTAGTGCAACCCATTGACCACCTGCTTATCAACGTGTGGTTTCTCCTATTTTCTACGCAATTTTGCATCTCCAATTGACAGTCTTTCCTTTTTTTTTTTTTTAATATTGTGGTACCATCCATCCAGCTTGGAGAAGAAGGTCTTAGCATATGGCAGCCCTTTATCAAGCAAGAACCAGACCATTGCAAAAGAGGACATTGTACCAGACATTGACAGTACAAAGACAAATATATATGATAGATTTTTAAAATCCTTGTATAATAAGTAACTGTCATATTTCTAGGAACTACCAGGTAATACTATCACAATGCAGTTATCTAAAGAACTAGATGGTGTATCTTGAAAAAATGTTTCTGTAAGCTTTTATTGCTCCTGTGATGGTGCAATTCAGAGGTCGGCACCAATGGACTCTTTTGATGTCAGGAGGATTGAGTAACACAAGCAACATACCAGAAGAAACCAAGAGA